TTTCATAGGAGAACAGTTTAGATTTTCAGGATTTTGAATATTTGTAAACAGACTACAAAGGTACTGGAACTACAGGAAAATACATCCTTAAAAAATATACCTCAAATAGATTGTTTGTCTTTCAATTCTTGTATATGTGTTTTTTATGTCCAGCAAAATTAGTCAAAATTGAGACTTAAGATTTGATAATTGGAATTGATTAAAGATGGCTTTCCTTGTTTTCATTGATAAAAATCATACATAAATAGAAAGTATCGTAATTAATGTTAAAACGGGTTACTATTATGTAAAGAAATTATTTTCAGTTATTAACTTGTTATCGGACCAATTTACTTTTGTTATGTTGAATTGAAATTATGTTTTGTTTTATATGAAAGATAAAATCATTTTTTTACAGAATCTTTTATACATCGAAAAATCTTGCAAATGCATTTCGAATGCTTGATGCGAAAGTGATGTCCTCTCCCCTGTCTGGAGCATCTGGCACTGGACTTGCATTTGTGGTCTCGAGATGTTCATCCCATTGATCATTATACTCCTCTCCTTGTTTTTCACAAATGTTGTGTAGAACACAGCAAGTCAGAATTAAATTTGGAGTTTCTTTGATGTCGCAATGTAGTTGAAACGCTTCTGTTCTGGAGTTGTTTGAGCACTTTCAGGATATGGCTTCATAAGCCATTGTAGCAAGGGATAGGCTGGATCTCCAAGAATAACCACTGGAACTGTGACTCCACAGATATTTCTGGTGGTATGGGGGAACAAACCTCCTTCCTGACCTACATCATAAATTTTGGAATTAGCCAAAACTCTTGCATCATGGACCCGACCAGGCCAGCCAATACAAGTGTCTCGAAACAAATAATTTGAATCGACAACAGCTTGCAATAGCATGCTATACCACCTCTTCCTATTGTAATAATCGGTGTGGTTTTCTTGGGGGCTAACTATAGGGATATGACACCCATCAATGGCTCCACCACAATTTGGGAATCCCCATCTTTGCTCAAATGTAAGCATTATGTCCTGTAGTTCATCATTATCTGGTAAATATATATATCGTTTTGACAGTTTATCTTTTACCACTTGACAGAATTCTCTTAGAATTAAACAAACTGATGATCTTGAGATGCCAAACAAATGAGCAACAGTTCTGTATTCGCAAGGAGTTCCAAGGATCCATAGAGATATTCCTACTCTCATTTCAACAGGAATGCATTTACGAAATGACGTATCTCTTCTACATATGTAAGGTCTTAGCGAGTCACAAAGCTTATCAAAAGTTTCCTTTCGCATCCTGAAATGAGAAAAAAAAAGAATATAAATATTATGAGCAATTAAAGAGTCCACTAAAATTATTTTCTATTAAAAGGTCGATATCCTTGAAACAATTAAATATACTAAAAATCCCATGTTTTCAAAACGTAAATATAAGCAATAATCTGTTACCCTGTTAATCTGTGTATACAGAGACATAAACTTTTCCAAATCAAACAGAGTAGGCCCCATGTAGCCTAGTTTAGGCTATGACTTTGTAAAAATCATCCATCTAACCTGAAGTTTTCAACCCATTGGTCTTCAATAAATGTTTCTTTAACTATGTAGCACCACCAATATCCACTTCGTTCATGGATCCACAAAGACCTATCAATAGTGTAAATGAAATATATTAGTTTAAATAAACTATTATTGAACTATCCCTGTTATAACACAATACTGGTACTTCACATTTATAAATACATGTAGGGCCTACTTGTCAGTGCAAGTTGAATTTTTTTTGAATTTTTGCTGTTTTTGAGAACTAGAATAAAAGCTTCAAATTAGTATTGTAAAGAATGTCTTTGTTTTGATGAAAATATAAATAGTAAAACAATTTATGACTTCAAAATTTGTTGTTACAGTAGAAAAAGAAAACAGTAGCATTGTCAGATATTCCATTTCCAATTCTCATAAAAAAAAAATTATGACAAAAATTAAAAAAAAAAACTTGCAAAGACAATAGTATAGCATTCCGCATTCTAATTTCTGCCAATTTACTAAGAACATTTGGTTTTTTTCAACTTCTGGAACTACTAATTAGACACCAAGCTTTTTTAACGCTATATATTACTTACCTGTGAACTCTGCGAGATTCCATAACTGACTTGTGTAATAGATGGACAAAATTCATTACTATCCGATTTCGTCTGCGTTGATAAATCACTGCCCTGGAACTATCTTCAAAAATTATAAAAAGGACAAGGGCGTTCGATTACATTTTTTTCTTCTTTGTAACCTCAACAAGTGCAAGAAAAGACAGAAAACATATCGGGCGCCATTGTTTTTGTTTTCATCCGGGTAACACGACCGTTTATTTTTACCTTTTTCGTGAAGAGTTACATAAATGAGCGTCTGAGAACAGTTCAACGTTTACACTATCATTTATAAAGTGTTCTCGGAACACTTGTTATTTCGGTAGTGTAAACGGTGTAATTTTGTGATTTTAACGCGTCCTGGCCTAGACCGAGAACGGAACACTTTGCAATCTCCTAAGGTAAACGGGGCTTAAAGGTTAGACAGAGTTATCTACCGAATTTCATTCATTTATTGATCAAATTACATGTGATTCTAGTACAAAAGATTGTATGAATCGAAAATGCTCAATCTGTGCTGGCTTAATTGATAACTTTCAACCAAGAAATCCTGATGCAAGATTGCAGCTTTATCAATGGAGAACTCAAAATGGTGAGAAAATTGATAAAGTATTGACAGAGTGCTCTGCAGGAGAAGCCTTTATGGGACTGAAAAAACAATTGGATTCATTTCTAATACACACTTATGTAAAAAGATGTCAAGCTGCCTTTTTGAGAGACTTCACCTCAACTTGTGACACAAAAAACATTGTCGTCCAAGTAGATTTTTCAGAAAACGCAACAATTTTGGCTCAAAATGAAATTCAGTCAGCACACTGGAACCATGGTCAAGCTACGTTATATACAGCACATGCATGGATAACTAATGAAAAACGTGAAAATATTGTCATAATATCTGATTGCTTAAATCATACTAAGTATAGTGTGTATGTTTTTATTGATTACATTTTATCACATCTCAAAGAAAATTACCCTGACATTGAAATAGTCAATTTTTTTAGTGATGGTGCCAGCTCACAGTTTAAGCAGCGTTATCTATTTTCAAATTTTCATCAATGGGAAGTTCAACATGCAATTACGTTGTCATGGAATTTTTTCGCTACCTCTCATGGGAAGGGTGTGGTTGACGGGTTGGGTGGCACCGTCAAGCGCTCAGTGTGGAGATATGTCACATCTGCTGAAGAATATGCATCTACTGCAAGGGAACGAAATCGCAAGGGAACGAAATCCCAATGTGCATATTCATTTTATTGCAGAATCAGTAATCTCAGGCAAAATTACTGAATTAGATGCACACTGGGAAGGAGTTTTGCCTGTTCTTCAGACTCAAAAACTTCACTCAGTATTCCCAACTGGAGCCTTTGATCTAACGGTTTCTGATGTTTCTAATTCATTAGAGAAAACTGTGGTACCTATAAGGGTTAACTCTGATTCAAAGATACCACAAACAGTTCAAAACAATAAAGTTGGACAGTGGGTTGTCGTTAGATATGATGATATTGAATATCGGGGGGAAATAGTCATAAAAGACGACTTGCAGGTGAATTTCATGCATGCGAGTGAAACAGGTAGTTACTGGAAATGGCCAGAAAAAAGTGACATCATTTTTTACAATAAAAATGATAGTAGTAGGGGCTTAGGTACAGGTAATTTGGTTGCTAGGCAACGGATGACGTCATATCCGGTTTTAGGATGCGCATGCGTGACTTTGGTTGCTAGGGAGATGACGTCATTGGGGAAACCCCACGGGAATCCCAGTTTGACGATGACGTCATGGGAAATCCCAAGGGGAAACCCCACGGGAATCCCAGTTTGACGATGACGTCATGGGAAATTCCAAGGGGAAATCTCAAGGGAAAATCTCAAGGGAAAAACCCAAGGAAACCCTTTTATTTTATTTTGAAAAGGGCTGTTTTTTATTGGACTTGGGCGATCAGACTTGGTCTAATCAAAGTAGGACCGACGACACGTGCAGATTTCTTTCGGTTTTTTCGCACAGACCCTTCTATGTTTGGAAATCCTCCAGAAGGTAGGGCGAACTATGGCCATACACCATAGACATTGAAACCAGTCATCCTCTAGGTGATGGTAATAGGCCATAGGCCTTGACTTATGACAAATGTCACATTCCTTAAAATCTGACTTGTCCATGGCGAATATGATTTTCCTTGGCACGGTACGCTGTTTTAAAAGGCCATAGATCACGTGTTAGATCACGTGACTATTTCCGATCATTTGATTGGCTACAGCGCCACCTAGTCAAATCAATATAATGCACATACACTAGAAAATTCATTAGACATGGATAGATACTTGTTGTTCGAGGATCGTTCAGAGACGTTTGTAGATTGGCCTAAATCTAAACCTACACCAATCTCTTTGGCTGAAGCTGGGTTTTATTAGCTTCAATACGAAGATACTGTAGAATGTTTTGTGTGTCGATATAAACTGAAAGAATGGCAGTCTGACGATTGTGCTTGGGATGAACATCGACGTCATTCCCCACACTGTCTTTACCTGAAAATGGTCAAACCCAAATCTTATCGAAAAGGTTATGTTTACGAATGGAAAGGACTATTAAGAGACCAAACCAGTACCATGGCAACCAGTCATAAAGTATATTCAGATTTTAGATCGTGTTTGTCCGCAGCCAAAAAACACGACTTTGATTTTCCAGACTCCATGGGAATTCAATTGTGGATCATGAAAGTAGACGAGGATGGAAAAGTATTAGAAGACATGGAAGTCGACAAAATGAATAAAGCAGAATTATTGTTGAAATGTTTAAATATTCATTAATGTCTTGTTGAAATAAAGAAATGTAAAAAAAAAATCATAAAATCTATATCTCTTTTCATTTGATTTGTTGCCCTAAAAAGGGCTGTCAAGCTATGCCTGACATCGTGGGGGAGGGTGTCAAAATCAGCACTGTTTAGGATTGTCCTTGTAATATTTCAAAGCAATCTCTAAACAGCGTTTTTCCTGAGACCATAGCCAGCGTTCCTCTCGCTGTCGCTCGAGAATACCTGCCACAATCCCCGTCCATCGCTCCTGCTCTGCAACTACGGCTTTACTTCTACAATTGCCCATTGTGGAAATGATGGCAAGAATGTCTAAGCGTTCTGTTAAATAGGCGCATATGACGTCACACAGAACACGTGATTTTTAACAACCAATTGTGCATGAGTGCGCATGCTTATAACGTCACGTGATTTTCCATGAAACTATTTAACGGTTGATGTGGATGTCTAGATTCACTATCAGCACAACCTGCGAAGATGACATATCAACTACGCCTTGGCGATAGAAAATACAGCAGAAGATTTCATACCAACTCCGTGTATTTGAACGTTGACTTTACGCAGAATTGGCATCATGTTTTACCAGCAGAGGTTCCTCAACAGTTGGATATTACTTTTAACCAAATTATCCGGGACATTGGAAACTATTTGAGTTGCGACCCAGACGACCAAGTGAGATTTGGCGTGTCACACCCAGGACTGAAATCACCAGCGTGGATTCCATTCAACAAATGGTCGGGGATAAGAGCTCAAGATATTTTGAACCCCGTGGCAAGAATTTTACAGTCGAACGAGCAATTCAGATTAGACGAACGAATGACACTACATGTGTGTCACGTGAGTGTTCCAAAAGGAGATGGTCAAGGCAAGTATCTATTAAAACGAGAATCATTATCACTCGAGGATTATTTAAAGAGAAAGAGGGCGCTCGTAGTGGTCAAAAACAAAGATAATTTATGCTTTCAACGAGCAATTGTCATCGCCAAACACTACGCCAACAAAAACGACACACCAGAATGGGAAGCAGAAAGGAATAAGTTAGTAAGGATCTCAGGACCTTACAGTTGGCAGACGAAATGCACCAAACGATTGATTGAACAAGTTGATGGACGTGCTGAAGCTTGCCAAGGACAGGAAACGTGGGAGTTGTACCAAAGGACCCTCGGACAACAAGGCTACCAACTGTTTGTGTATTCTAGACTCCTATTTGGAAAATTATTGTACAAAGGCAAAGTTTCCGGTACCCCTAAAAACTTCATCTCTACCATCACGACCACCATTATGACGTCATTACTTCAATGCCTGCCTTTCCAGAGAAAAATTATTATTGCGACTTGTGTGGAAAAGGTTATGAGCATATCGAGACACACACGTTTCAGCGTATGCAATGGTTGTCGCCGACCCGGCAAAGATTGCCCCACTGATACACCTCGATCCTGTTTAGAATGTCATCGAACTTTTTTCAGTGAGGAATGTTTTAAAGCTCACAAGACTGGAACCACCCTCAACGCCATCACCACCTGTAACAAATGGAAACAATGCACCAAATGTTGTAAGGAATGAGACACGAGAAGGCGAGGTCGACTATTGGAAGAACATATTTGTGGAGAGTACGAGTGTAAGATATGTCGAAAATGGCATGGTAAGGGTGATAAATGGAAAAGTCATGACCATTCAATTGGCATATGTGAAATTGGAAGAAACTCCTTAAACTTTTTGGCTATGCCACTAAGAG